TCGACGAGGAAAAGATGTATGAGTCGCAACCCAGTCGTTATGTGAGCCACCTGATCGGCCACGAGGGCCCTGGTAGCATCATGGCCTACGTCAAGGAAAAGGGCTGGGCCAATGGCCTGAGTGCCGGTGCTTACCCCGTCTGCCCGGGTTCACCTGGTATTTTCGACTGTCAGATTCGCCTGACAGAGGAGGTAAGTCCTGCAATGAGATGGCCGCCGCTTTGACACTACCCCACCTCGAATGCTGACGTACACCATAGGGTCTCAAAAACTACAAGGAGATTGTCAAGGTCTTCTTCCAATATGTTGCGCTTCTCCAGGAGGCGCCGCCCCAGGAATGGATCTTTGACGAACAGAAGGGCATGGCCGACGTCGACTTCAAATTCAAGCAAAAGACTCCAGCGAGCCGATTCACGAGCAAGATCAGTTCTGTCATGCAGAAACCTCTCCCGCGGGAATGGCTACTCAGCGGATACAGTCGGTTGAGGAAGTTCGATTCCGGTTTGATCGAAAAGGCCGTGGCATGTCTAAGACCAGACAACTTCCGTATGACTATTGTGTCACAAAAGTTTCCCGGTGACTGGAACCAGAAGGAGAAGTGGTACGGGACCGACTACCGCCACGAAAAGATCCCCGAGGACTTCATGGCCGAGATCAAGAAGGCCGTCTCAAGCCCTGCGTCGGAGAGACTTTCCGAGCTTCATCTTCCCCACAAGAACAACTTCATTCCCACGAAGCTCGAGGTCGAGAAGAAGGAGGTCAAGGAGCCAGCTCTGTCGCCGCGTGTCGTCCGAAGTGATGGCCTCGCTCGGACGTGGTTCAAGAAGGATGACACCTTTTGGGTGCCCAAGGCCAACTTGGTCATCAGCTGCCGGAACCCCAACATCTACTCCACCGCGGAGAACGCTGTCAAGGCAAGGTTCTTCACCGATCTGGTCCGCGATGCGTTGGAGGCGTACTCTTACGATGCCGAGCTTGCTGGCCTGCAGTACAGCGTCTCGCTCGACGCCAGAGGTCTCTTCCTTGACCTTAGCGGGTACAATGACAAGCTGGCCGTACTCCTGGAGCAGGTTTTGATCACGATCAGGGATCTGAAGATCAGAGACGAGAGATTCGACATTATCAAGGAGCGCCTGAATCGTGGATACAACAACTGGGAGCTACAGCAGCCGTTCAGCCAGGTCTCTGACTACACGACGTGGTTGAACTCTGAGCGCGACTACGTTGTGGAGGAGTACCTGGCTGAGCTGCCTAACATTACTGCTGAAGATGTTCGGCAATTCAAGAAGCAGATGCTTTCGCAGGTCCATATTGAGTCTTATGTCCACGGAAACTTGTACAAGGAAGATGCTCTCAAGCTCACCGACATGATTGAAACCGTCTTGAAGCCACGCGTTCTTCCGCGACCCCAGTGGCCAGTGATTCGGTCATTGGTCATCCCCCCTGGATCGAACTACGTATATAAGAAGACGCTCAAGGATCCGGCCAACGTCAACCACTGTATCGAAGTTTGGCTCTATGTTGGCGACAAGGGTGATAGAATGGTACGAGCCAAGACAATGTTGCTAGACCAAATGGCTCACGAGCCGGCCTTCGACCAGCTGCGAACCAAGGAGCAGCTTGGTTATGTCGTCTTTAGTGGAGTTCGAAGCTTCTCCACTACGTACGGCTTCAGGTTTATCATTCAAAGTGAACGGACACCCGAGTACCTTGAATCGAGAATCGAGGCCTTCCTCAACTTGTTCTCCAACACGTTGGACAATATGTCTGAGGCAGACTTTGAGGGTCACAAGCGCAGTCTAATTGTCCGGAGGCTCGAGAAGTTGAAGAATCTGGACCAGGAGAGCAGCAGACACTGGGCCCAGATTGCCAGTGAATATTACGACTTTGAGCTCCGTAAGTTGCCAAACATGAATATAGGAACAAGGAAAGTGCTGACGTTATTACAATAGCTCAAGAAGACGCCGCCCACATCAAGACGCTCACCAAGGCCGACATGTTGGAGTTCTTCCAGACGTACATCAAGCCCGGATCGGCAACACGGGCGAAGCTCTCGGTGCACTTGCGTGCACAGGCTACGGCGCCGGCCAAGGAGGGTGCTGAGGCCAAGGTCAATGGCGTCAGTAAAGACGAAGAGGCATTGCCGTCAAGTGAGACTCCACCGGTCGTTATCGAAGATGTTCGCAGTTTCCGAGCCAGCCTTGTTGCGACTAGTGGCGCGCGACCTGCTAAGGATTTGACCGAGTACGAAGACACTGATGCTAAGCTATGAGGAGAGAGAGGTGGATGAAGGTTGTTCAAGATGTTCATGCATACATGGTCAAACACACACAGGCGGCGTTGAGACTTTTCGGTAGTGTTTTTTAAGACGCATTTGCTAGAGAGACAACCGACTCAGGTCACACACTATGTTGTCTTCAGTCAAACAAGAGGTTGGAGAGATACAGCCGTCGGATTTGGTCCCGGGGTGTACAGGCATTCATGGATGGAATATAGGGAGCATGATGTTATGAGGCTTCACGGCATAGGATAGAACCCTAATAACTCTTAAAGCCCCTGGTTCCGTCTGTCCACATGGCGGACGGAAAGGAAAACTACTCTCCAATTACTACCTGAGGTAGCTTTGGGGGAAGAGAAGTCGAATAGAAAAAGTAAAGCTCCAGCATGCTATACCTATGGAAGTTTGACGGGATGTGATGATTACCCCGGGTAATAACTACCGAGAATGACCCCTGCTTGAAGATCAGACTTCACGAGTCAGCTATGGACAGGAAGTGGCGAGTGCTCGGGTGTATCTCTGGACGAGTTGATCGAAAGTGAGGATGTTCAAGCACGCAGTAGGACATGATGAACAAGTGAGATTTCATTCATGATAGTCTTTACGCAGCCTGAGTGAGGTATGGGACTATTTGTGGCAGATCACTGTCAGTGAGGGACGCCATTTCCGAGACGATGAGAGTGCTTGTTGTAGCTGACGTCAGGTGGGATGGGAACGCATAGTGGGGGCCTAAGGGCGCTTGGACTTGAGATTGCATGGAACTGATTTTTTTTTTAAAAAATAATAAAAAAAAACGTTGCAGTCAATGGTCGTCAATTCCTTCCTTCTTACGGGAAGTTGAGTTGAGTGTGGGGATGGATGGTGGGCTGAAGTGCAGGAAGGAGCACAAGATCGGGGGGATCTGGAAAAAAAAAAACTTGGATACCTTTTTTCTGCTTTTCTTTCCTTCCCCCCTCACCATACCCGGTCCCCTCTTTCTCCAATGCAGAATACGTGCCTTCCCTGTAAACTTCTTGACCGTCTCTTTCCTTTTTTATTTTTGACTCCATGTGTTGAACGTCTCAGTGGGGGGAGTAGAAAATTGTGTGAGGTCTCTTCCGTCCCATTTTGGACGAATTGGAGTTGGTGTGAGGAATTCTGCTCTTTTGCTCTTTACCGAGTATTCCCTACGAGTAGTTGTACGAATAGACGGGACATCTCGTTTGGCCTTGGTCAGGGCAAGCAGACCCAATACTGGGCTAGATGGTGAGAAGGATCTGAGGTGATGGTACCTTCAATGCTATCCAGGCATGATTATGCCAACGGAGAGCATTTATTCAGACGAAGGGAAGGAACTGAAATATGTTTTATGACATCCGCCACTTCCTCCTATGACGAGCCTTTGAGCCGCAGTCGCACTCTGGATGCCTTGTCAAGTCATTCGTCCAATCGTCAGGTCAGCACAGGTCAGGCCAGGCCACTCCTCGATCCTAGACCAATATAGAAAACAGAAAGAGAGAGGGGGGGGGGCAGCTGAGATGCTTTGGGGGTGGTGGAAATGGTCTAAACTCGTGCGTCAAGTCTCTTGCCCCGCACTGACTAAAATCCAAAAGTCCGCATCCAGAATTTGTTGCCTTTGCTGCCTTTGTAGCATTGAATTGGTACGTGGGCTCCCCCAACAGCCCGGGCAATAGATGATGTATTACTTGAGCAGTACCTTACGAAATAATAGTAGCAGCGCTGCTTGCTTTGTATCTGTGTGTATACGCAGTATGACAGTAGGTAAAAGGTGCTGTGCAAAGTTGTGACAAGCAGATAAAATGTGACCTGGCTGAGTGAGACCTTGGACCTTTCAACCCACACGCCTCTCTCTCTCTCTCTCTCGGTTCAATCCGTTTAGTCTCTCTCTCTCACCACTCTTCCTCGCTCTTTCCCATCCCTCTTGCCTAGGTCACAAAATACATGTAGAGATAGAAGGCACTGGACTGGGGCATCTCAATCTGCCCCAACTCAAACACACCCACATCCGTTCACCCTCCCGTCACCAGCTCACGTCCCCTTTACACACACCTCACACTGGGACACCGCCCGACCTGCCTTAGACTGGACGAGCACGCACAGCGCATTTACAGCACGGCACAGCACAGCACAGCAAAACACAGCACAACTCTGGCCGTCCAGTTGCAATTAGATCCAAATCCAATTGCTGCCCGCTGCCCTCACGAGTCACCTTACCCTCTTCCACTGTCTGTCGGCATCTTACCTATTCCATCAGACCCTCCCACTTTCTTCTCTCCACCCCACAGCCCACCCCCAAAGTGCAGTCGTCTTTCTGTGTCTGGACGTCCTCAGCTGTAATTAATTCTCTTTCTCCCCGACAGGACCTGCCACTGCACTTGCACTTGCACCTGCACACCCCCATCGGCTTTGCGGCTTGCCCTACCTTACCTCACAGGATTACAGTGCCCGAGGTACCGTCGATTCTTCCCCACGAGGTCCAGTACTGCTGGGCTGAGCCTCGAATTGAACCGGATCCTCTTGTGAACCCGAATCTGGTCCTGGATCTGGCTGCACCACACATGCAATACGCCCTCTCCCACCCTCTGTCACCGCACCCAATTTTCCCCCGCTGCCACTCCGGAGCTGCACAGGCAGCTCACCTTCACCACGTCTTCCTCAAAGAAGAGAAAGATCTCTCGCAATCAGACGCGCACCGACGACACATCTAATCCATCTTCTCCCGACACCGTCCTGCCGTCGTGCGAGCCAAACGACGATCCAGCCTTCTCCTTCTCTGCCGCCCACTCCACCGACGGCCTGTCGACCCCTACATACCTTCGAGGCGACTCGTACCCAGCATCAAGCCTACCTGCGCGCCTGCAGACTGGCTCCCTCGTCTCTACCGAATACGCTTCAAGCACAGCAGCCTCATCACCTTGTGGTGTTGCCGACCTGTCCATTGACAGCGACCGAGGAGGCGATATTTCTGGCACAGAGACTGGCACTGCGCTGACGTCCCATTCAGCCAGAAGCCGGTCTCCCTTCAACGTTTCCCGCCGCGCCATCATGACCAGTGATGCCAACCCTCACCAGCGTTCCTCCTCTCCCTTGAAACGAAGAGCCTCCAGCATGGATCCCGATGCCGATGTCAGTATGAAGGAGGAAGATGTCGAGATGGCCTCCACCAACCACCACCAGCAGCAGCAGCAGCAGCAGCAACAGTCAGCCGAGGGTGCCGAGTCAGCCCCGGCTTCCTCCAACACACACTTGCCTAGGGCTATGAGTGTCGACCTGCCCGATAATGTTGCAAAAGGAGCATCCAACAAATCCAATGACAAAGGTACGAGTATCTTCGGTTGTGAGACTATATAGATGGCTTTTCGCTGACCAAGGGTTTCCTGGCAGATCTTCCCCCTCTCGAAGATCAAATCAAGACCATTCAGACCCTCCTCAAGGCCTTCAACGACGAACCCCCGAAAGTTGGCGATGTCGCATACGTTGTGTCGAGATCATGGGTGGAAAAGGCTTTGGCGCTTGGCGGAGACCCCAAGTTTGCCAAGAAAGAGACGATAAACGAGCCGCTAGGCCCCGTGGACAATTCCGATCTCATTCTCGAGGTCCTGTCCCAGCCCAGCGGTGACGACTTTGTCCGGATGAAGCCTGGTACTGGCATGGAGGAGTGCGAGCTCTTCCCGGAAGACGCCTGGACGCTCGTCTCCGAGTGGTATGGCGTCGGTGAGGGACAGAAGCCCATTGTGCGCAGCGCTATCAACGCGGCGCCCGATTCGACGAGCGAGAAGAACGTCATGTTTGAGCTGAACCCGCCCGTCTTCACAATCCACAGACTCTGGTCCATGGCGAGTCCTTTCAAGATTAAGGACGAGCTGAAGAGCAAGGAGCCCCTCGTCCTGGCCCGGAGTGCCACCACACCCTACAATCCATTCTATAAAGAGCTGAAGGAGCTCACCGGGGTCCCTCTGGATCGTAAGATGAGGGTCTGGCAGCTCACTCAACAGCCCGAGGCGCAAGAGTCATCACCTCGGTCTGCCCTCACACCGCCTGATTCCCCAAACCCGGACAAGGACAGCGAGAGTTCGTCGGGCCCTTGGCAACGCATGCTCGTGGAGGTGCCCAGCTTCACAAAGGTCAACGGCGGAGACCGACAGTTAGTACCTGCGGTGGACAACACTTCCAACCCCAATTACAACGGCAACTCTCCCCTCTCGGTCTACGGACTGATGCAAGACATGACTCTCGTCATTGATGAAGAAATTGCGAAGAACGCATGGGTCTCAACCTACTTCAAAAATGGCAAAAACGACAAGGTTCTGGCATCTAGAGGCTCTGCCACGAGCCTGAAGGCCAACAGCAGTGGAAGAAGCAGCCCTGCTCCTCAAGGGCCCATTACTCGAGGCCGGACCCAGCAGAAGAAGAAACCTGGCCGGGGCTTAGGCGCCGTAGGTCTTCAGAACCTTGGCAATACCTGTTATATGAATTCGGCCCTGCAGTGCGTCCGCAGCGTCGAGGAATTGACAAAGTACTTCTTGACGGACAAGTACAAAGAGGAGCTCAACAAGGGTAACCCGCTTGGTTACAAAGGACAGGTGGCCATGGCTTACGGTGGACTTCTTAAGGAGATTTACAACGAGTCGAGAGGCGCAGTCAGTCCTCGCGACTTCAAGAACACAGTCGGTCGCGCTCGCGCCACTTTCCAGGGCTGGGGTCAACAAGATACCCAAGAGTTCCTCGGGTTCCTTCTCGACGCTTTACAAGAGGACCTCAGTCGTATCCATAAGAAACCTTACATTGAGAAGCCGGACTCGACAGACGACATGATCGGTGACGAGGAGGCCATTCGCAAGATGGCTGAGGAGGTGTGGGACATCACTCGGAAGCGCGATGACTCCGTGATTGCAGACCTCTTCACTGGCTTGTACAAGTCCACTCTCAAGTGCCCGACATGCGACAAAATCAGCATTACTTTCGATCCTTTCAACAACCTTACTTTGCCGCTACCCATGGAGGATATGTGGAGCCGGCCTGTCAAGTTCTATCCGCTCAACGACGTGCCTGTGAAGTTTGAGATCGAGCTGCCGAAGCACAGCGCCATTGAGTTATTGAAGAAGGCGCTCTCAGACAAGACGGGTGTGCCTGTGGAATTGTTGATGGGAGCAGAAGAGTTCAAGGGCAAGTTCTTCAAGGTCTACTCCGACGCCACCTCGGTTTCGGAGGAGATTCAGTCCAACGATATACCTGCTTTCCACGAGCTGGAATCGTCGCCGACCAACTACCCTCCCAAGCAGAAGAAGATGGGTACGCCCAGCTCGATGCTAGAGATCAGCGATGAGCCATGGGTTGACCCACGCACCGAGCGTTTGCTGGTTCCTGTTCTTCACCGCAAGAAGACGGGCAACACTTACAGATCGAGGGGAGACGATATTGCAGCACCCCCTCACTTCATTGTTGTTACACCCGAGGAGGTAAGCTGAACACTACTTCTTATGACACTTGTGTGAAACTAATAGCACCCTAGTCCCGCGATGAGGACGTCATTCGTCGCAAGGTTTTGGAAAAGGTTGCTACGTTCTCTACCTGGTCCGAATTTGAGGAAATCGACGAAAGCACCGATGCGGATATGGTCATCACATCCCAGTCAGATGCTGACTCGTCAGGAGACAGTAAGGTTGTCTCTAACTCGGTCGAAGGCGAGGATGACTTGGTGAACGTTTCTGTCGGCGCAGGCGAGCAACAGCAGACCCGGCGACCTACCCTGAAGCAGTTCAACATTCGCCGCCCGAAGTGGGCGAATCCCAAGGAGTACCTTCCGCCTCACCTCCAGAACTTGTTCGAGCTCAGCTTCTTTGGCGAGAGTAATGACTATGGGTTGCCCGTTGGCTGGAACACGGTGGACGACAATAAAAGCTTTCGTCTCCTATCTTCTCGCGCCCCGGAACTCCCCAACGAAGATTCGAACAGCCCTGGCTCCACCAACGGTGCAGATAGTGAGCACGAGAGTGTCAGCGAAGAGACTACTCCGCAGTCTGTTGATGAGCAGACCCGCATGGCGGAGGAGTCAGAAGAGGATGAGCCCGTTCGCGTCATCAAGGTATATATTCACCGGGCGAGCGCAACGGCAGGAGAAGCGGCACAAGCTAACATTACACAGCCAATGAACCGCGGAAGGGGCAATCACAAGGTCGGCGGAGCTCGCCGAAAGAACAACAAGGGCAACAAGACCTACGGAAAGAGGGGCGGCAAGCGTCGCAACAGAGACTCGCGGAACAGCAAAGAGCAGTCCTTCCACGTGGTCGACGTTGAGCCTCAACCATCGCCTGAGGACGATGTTCGCGGTGGCCCGCTCGTCCGCCTGGATGAGGGCATTGTCGTCGATTGGTCTGAGGAAACTTGGGACTTGGTCTTTGGCAAGGAGTCAGTGCGCGACACCGATGACAACCGTGGCTCAAAGACCTTCACTGAGCCGGAAGAGCTCAAGGACCCCGTCTTGGAACAGAAGCGTAAGTCGCGGATGGCTCGCAAGAAGCAGGGTATTACCCTTGAGGAGTGCTTGGACGAGTTCGAGAAGGCCGAAGTCTTGTCTGAGCAGGACATGTGGTATTGTCCACGCTGCAAGGAGCATCGACGTGCTAGCAAAAAGTTCGATCTCTGGAAGACGCCAGATATCCTCGTTGTCCATTTGAAGCGGTTTAGCAGTGCTGGCTGGCGCCGCGACAAGCTTGACGTTTTGGTGGACTTCCCCATCGAGGGTCTCGACCTTCACAAGCGGGTTCTCTGCCAGGAGACGGGCAAGGAAGAGATCTACGACCTCATCGCGGTTGACGATCACTTTGGTGGCCTCGGCGGTGGCCACTACACTGCTTACGGGCGAAACTTTGTTGACGGCCAGTGGTATAACTACAATGGTTGGTTGGTCCTTTGCAGAACATGACTTCTCGTACTCACTATTTTGCAGATACCTCGGCCAGTAAGACTTCGCCCGAGAGCGTCGTTACAAGAGCGGCCTACCTGCTCTTCTACCGGCGTCGGTCCGAGGGCCCATTGGGCGGCCCTCGCTTCAAGGAGATCTTCGACAAGTTCGACAAGGATGGAGAAGACGATGATGAAGAGGACACCGATTCGGGGGAAGATCAACGTCTCGTCGGGGGCTCCTCCCTAACTGGATCGTCGAGACTTGGGATCGGAGCCGAAGCAACTCACCCGCGCGGAAATCGTGGTTTGGCTAGTAACACAATGTCCACGGCCAACCCGGGTGCAGAGGATGAATTGCCACCTTATGAGGGTAGCTCCAGCACCAATGTTGGTAGCGACAACATCCAAAACAGTATTGAGGATGAGGGCATCGGCATGACGGACTACAACGGAGACTCGACTGCATTCTCAGCTACGCAGGGCTGGAATTGGAATTCCTTGGACTCCGCTGACGGAAACAACAACTCCCTTGGTCTGGACGGGTACGGTAGTGATGACGCACAGCCAGACTCGTCAGACGAGCGCGAAGTCGGCAACGACACTGATATGCAATTTGATGAGACCATGGGAGATTACGAGACCGCCCATGATGAGGCGCCTCCGCCACCCGACTTTGGCGCCCAGGTTGGTCTATCAGAGATCCAAACCGCCGCATGGGCCCGTCAGAACAATGCAGAGGTCATATCTGTGCCAGCTGCAGATGAAGATGCCGCTTCCACAGAGGCAGCCGAGATCCATCTCGACGACGACGCGGAGGCGCACGGACAGACTACTCGGTCACACTAGTTCTTGCCGATGGATCTGCTAGATGATTGCGATGTATTGTGATTTCAAGAAGAAACCTGTTGTCCGCTTCGGCGTCGCAGAGAGAAACGAAGAGACGCCTGGACGTATACCAAGATGCGAGCACAGCAAATGTGTTCATGGGGCTATGAACAAGTACTGAGGGTGTTGGTTCATGGGAGGAGGGTTGCATTACACAAAACAAAAGCAGAAAGGATACAATGAGGCGTAAATAGAGATAGAGTCCCCCTCATGCCCTGGCATATACGAGGCTAGTCTTCCATGGCCTCGTTGGTTTTTATTGGAGTATCGGTTGCATGACGGCACGTGTGTATGACTTTTGATTATAATGTTATGTTATAAGAGGATATGGTAAATCCTTAAAAGACTGGCTGTGTATCCTGCATGTGAAACATGTGTTTTTGGGATTAATGATTGGAGCGGTTGTTGACTGACAACGTTGGTCAACCACCTCAAGGAAAAGGCCCGGATTCTAGGGTACCTGGTGCGAGTGAGATTTAAAAACACAGCCTTGACTCCCAGTACCTACCAGAAGGTCCATCAGGTCCGTGCTCCATGGGTGGGTCCGCAACTCGGTCGACGGGGCATCAATTCTTCCCGACGAATGACAGCAGGTGTAATCAATTGCTTCAGCGAACACCAAGCTATCCCCAGAAACCCGAGAGAGTGTTGAAGCCAGGACCGGAATCGAATTGACGACCGCCCCTCGAATCCGACATCAGTCCCCACAACTCAATTGAGCACAGCACAGCATGTTGTCGGCATCCAGACGAGCAGCGACGAGCGCCCTGTCGCGGCAGCTCCGCGTCGCCTCGAGACCCTTTACCGTGTCGACGACGGTCCGCACGACCGAGAGACCCGCCGTCGTCGAGAAGAACGAGGCCGCGACGCCCCAGGTCGCTGAGAACACCGTCCCCGAGACGGTCGGGCAGGCGCCGAACCGGTCGCTTGTCTGGTCGCGCAGCCAGAAGCCCCGCGCCGAGGCCATGACTGGTCCGCGGTTTGAGCAGACTGATTTCGCCCTCCAGGTGAGCAAAGCGACGCCGACGACCCCCGGGATGAGTAGAGAGAAGCGAGAATGATGGAAGAGGGGAGCCAATTGCTTGGAGATTCGATTGCTGGAGAGGGTTGAGAAGTCTATAAGAAATCAGGAACTGACGTGTGTCGACGACATCATAGCCACAACCTCACTCCGCGATGGAGCTCGTTCACAAGGAGCCCGTCCGGTGGACCCACGCCCGTGTTGTGGCATGCGACGGCGGCGGCGGACCGTCTGGTCACCCTAGAATCTTCATCAACACTGACAAGCCGGAGATTTCGAGCTGCAACTACTGCGGACTTCCTTTTGTATGTTGCCCTCCCTCCCTTTTATCATGGACACACCATAATGGGTGGGAAGAGGAATTATGGGTACCGTAGAGTAATGGGGATAAGCTAATTGATGAAATGACTAGGCCAACGAGCACCACCGCAAGCACCTCGAATCCCTCCCCGAGACCTCGTACCCCCTCGCATAGAGCTATCAATAGCTGTGGGTGGTGGACGGGACTGTTGGCAACGGCAATAGTGACAGTGGCATGGAGTCGCCAGCTTTGGGACGAAAAGAGAGCGTTTAGACACTGTGTGCTGTGCGACGGGCTGGGCCGTGGGCTGTGTAGATATAGCAGGATCAGAGTTGCTTCGGGTTGAACCAATTTTACAATTTCTATTCAAGATGAGCAGATGTTTGAGTTTCTAAAATTTTGAGGGTTTGGTGGCGCGCAGCATGACTGCCATCTTCCATCTGCCTAGAGTACGCGAGTTGCAGACAGCTTGACTTTTTGGAGATTTGCTGTATGATATACAGGCATCGTGAGAAGGACGTTGATGAGATGGCCAATGCGGATTGTCATGAAAACTCATCGCCTTCTTGGCCGTTTCAAGAGTAATTTACGTCTTTCGGAAAGATGCATTGAAAAGGTTGCCGGACAGCGAATTGGCATTCGTCACGGTGCACTGCAGAAAGTGACTTTTAATTTCACCATGACATGCTGCACCACCAGCTTCCATGGGCATTGAATCACTTCGATAAGGAGACATTACATAGATTCAATAGGTACAAATGACAGAAAACCGTTAGAAATGATTTTGAGATATGTCACTTTACCCAACTAACGGGGTCCGAGGTCATATCAGTACTAATTCCTGCATCTTTTGCGTCAGTGTAGAATCGTCCAATCTGCTGCTTCCCCAAGGTAATCTGACCTCACTTTATCCATCAAACCTGCCCCACCAGATCGGAGACCAGCGCGCGCCCGCATTCATTTTCCACACTCCAAACACGAACGCAATGTCTCCGACGACACCACAAAACAACCGTAACCATACCTCACAAACGACGACCCTACTCATCCTCTGCTTCATCATCATCTGCCTCTTTCCAAACTTATTTCACTTTCTCTGGAACCTGCCTCTCACGGCCCTAGGCTACGCATTCTCAACAAGCAGCAGCAGCAGTAGCAGTTCAAAACCCCCACGTCATACCCCACCAACTACAACCATCATGACGGGCTCCTGGTTCCAAAAGCAGTTCTCCCTGCCCGCCCGCTCGCGCGGCTCCTACCTCATCACGGACGAGATCGTCGGCGCCCTCCCGGAGCTCAAGAACTACAAGGTCGGCATCCTCCACCTCTTTGTCCAGCACACGAGCTGCGCCCTCAGCCTCAACGAGAACTGGGACGACGACGTCCGCGCCGACATGAGCGATGCGCTGGACCGCATCGCGCCCGAGGCAGGGCCCAAAGGTCAGGAGCTGTACCGTCACAGCGCCGAGGGTCCCGATGACATGCCGGTGAGACTTTTTTGCAACCCCGTTTCTCGTCCATCTTTTTTCGATGAGGTGTTGCAGCGTGATGGTCTAATATCATGTGTCACAGGCTCACATCAAGAGCGCTCTGGTTGGCGCGAGTGTTACCATCCCGATCAAGGATGGCAAGCTGGTAAGTCTGATTGCAAAAGGTCGAAATGCTGGATCTCCGGCTCACTTACATTGTCTAGGCCACCGGAACTTGGCAAGGAATCTGGTACCTGGAGTTCAGGGCCAGCAAGCATCAGCGCCGCCTTGTGGCCACCATCCAGGGAGAGCCCAAGGCGTGAGTTTCTTAAGTGTTATGCAGATAGACCGAGAACCTGGAATGAAAAAAAAAAAAAAAGAATTCACCAATCCCACTTTCAAACAATGAATACCATTCTATGTGGTGTCGATCGATGCAAATATCGCGTCAAACCTATTGTACAGTCCTACCGGTCTACTTATGGCACTTTTGTGACCTACGCCCAAACGCCTCGCCCCTGATCCCTTTTCATGAGAAGCCCCTCTCCTTCTGCGTACGCACTTTATGTGACCCGCAACTCGTACTACTGCTGCTGCTGCTGCTCGCCGTTCTCCTCTTCGTCTCCCTTGGCCTCCTGCATGTCCGTGTCGTCGCCGCTCGCCAACACCTTTGTCCTCGGGACGTATCCTTCCGGTGCGCTCGCGCCGGGCGTAGCAGCGACGATGTTGCCGTTCTCGTCGACAAACTCGAAGTTGTATCTGCTGAGGAGATGGGGGATCGCGGACAGCTGGGGGCCGTATCTCGCCGTGTTGTCGTAGAGCTCGAACAGGGGGACTGCGAGGAGTTTCATGTTCTTGGGGACGCTAAGCACCTCTGTTGGGGGACACGGGTTAGCAAATAGTGTTGCTGCTGTTGCTGTCACGGGTTTTCATAGAACGTACTACTCTTGGGCAACTGGATAAAGTAAAGCTTCTTGCATTCCTTTGGCCGAGTCACATGCGCCGGGACAAAGGGGTACATGAAAGTCTCAAAGTTGGGCCGCCACCACTGGGCCAGGCAATCGCCGACTTGCCAGTCGGCAGGCTCCTCGCCCTCGCCGATGCGGCCGACGGGAGCGAGGCGCTCGTCGAGGCGGGCCTTGAACCCTTCGACCTCGTCGTCCTCGGGGCGGAGGTAGTCTCCGGGGAGCTTGAAGAAGGCGTTTGCGATTTGCAGCATGAGGATGTGCGGGTGGTTGTGCTCGTGGCAGACGAGGATGCCCTCGCAGGTGCGGCGCATGCCGTGCTGGGTGTAGTGCTCCTCGAGGCGCTTGAGGCGGGCGATGACGGAGGGGTCTTCCTCGGGCTGGGTCTCCTTGACGCCGAAGGTGTAGTTGGAGAGCGGGTAGAGGCGGATCGTGTCTGGTTGATTTGAGTTGAAGGAGAGGGGGATGATGGGCGCGTGGCCCGATTGCAGGGCCGTGGTTGTAATCGTCGACATTGTGGCTGTCGTCCCTGTGTGTATGTTCTTGGATGATTCTCGTGGATGCGCGCGATGAGCGGGAAATGCTTATAGGAAAGTTTGTAGCCGATCACCAGGTTCGGTTTTGGGGAAGGAAGGCGCGTTGGACAGGGCTGGGGAAGCTGAGCTAAAGCACGGAGGTGTTGGAGCTTCCACGATTCGACTAGGAGGCACGGGTTGGCGAACGGGGAAGGCGGTGGGGTTTGAACCCCTGGTACCCCGGCCCCACCATCCGGACCTCTTTCACCGAGGTGAGCGGCCCAAGTCCAACGACACGCCTTGCTTTACATCGAGAAGCACGGCTGCATGGATTGTACCGCTGTGTTTTACAGTCCCTATCACATTTGTGTGTTTTTGTTTCTAATATGACTCATAACGCAAGTGACACGATTCGTTCTTTCTTTTGCATCCTCCCGAGAAAATGAAATAACTCGATAGTTAGGAAGACTTACTACTGGACTTTCATGCTTCCGCCTGTTGGTCTAGCCTCAATATTTTCTCAAAATCTATCGGTGAAATGCTTTTCGCTGCGTGTTCAACGTTACCTGTCAGATCAACCCGTGCCCTTCCGATATTGCCTTCACTTAATATACGGCATAGATTCCGTGCTGAATACATAAATGCAGGAGTCGAGGCAAAGTGATAGCTTATATTGTGCCATCCCATGTCATTTAAGCAGGCATCTTCTTTACGCCATGGAGCTTACTGCCTTAGGTTGATATGTAATCTTTACACGGGTCCTGGAGAGTAGACAATCTTTGCTCATTGAAAGCATCGTCCTCTCTCCAGCCATAACAAACGCCAGTCAACCAGGTGTTGCCGAGGAATCTAGATTGAAGGAATAAAGCTCATGAACACAAATCTTTATCGCAATTCCACTGTGCCATGTTCACTCAATAATCTTGGATCTCTACACATTATATGGAAACCTGAGCCGACGTTCTCATCGAGTGCACTGAATCATCAGTCCTCAAGGTGGAGCAGATCAGAGACAGACACGCTTTCTGCTAGTTTCCAAAATCAAATACCTTACTTTAGGCAGTAACACCTGCCTCACTTACGCTTTTCTTAACAGGAGAAGGAGCTCTCGGCTCTAATTTTCTGACCCTTGATTGTTTGCCTCCCACACCCACCCCACCGCAGCCATTTCCACTCTTCACCTACCACTTCACCCATCTCGACACTAGAGTCAAAGTCTCACCTTGCCTCGGCATCTCAACTACTGAGCTCATATTCAGCTCACATCAAGGCATTCCCATACTTGGCACTTCTTACTAGCCCCCGTTGCCCCGGCCTGGTAAGTTACACCCTGTTCTGACGATGGCCAGCCAAAGCGACAGAAAGCTTCGTTTTACGTGTTCTTGCTGAGATCAAACATTTCCCTTCCTTCTCATTTCTTCATTTCTTTCTGAGAGAATACTCCCTTGGCAAAGCAATTTCCTCCTCTCTCCTCGCATACACAGATACTGTCACCTCTATTTCTCGAACATCGCGAGACACCTTTTGAGATTTTGCCTCAATCCTTTGGAGCAAGAAGCGCGATAGTATATCTACCTCTACATCGCTGCCAGCTCATTTTCCAGTTCCGTATCACATACTGAAATAGCTTGCAGGCCACGCTCACTGTCATTCAGAACTGACGGTCCTACTGGACGGCAGCAAACATGGAGGGGAACGATGATCATGCTGCGGTGTCCATAGGCGCCATGGCCCACAAGAAACTCGACGAGGTTAAGACGAGCATGAACGCTACAAGGCTGCGCGAAGTGAATACCAAGACGACCCACCTCTTAGGAGGTATCCGCTCGGCCTTGGTAGAGCTGTCTGACCTCAAACGCGCCAAGCAGTGGCGTGAGAACGTTGAAAAGCTCCAGAGCGAGCACAAGATGCCTCGCTTCGTCATCGGTGTTCTTGGTGACACCGGTTCGGGAAAATCCTCATTCATCAATGCTGTACTCGACGAGGAGAGAATCGTACCGACAAACTGCATGCGAGCCTGTACGGCTGTCATCACCGAAATCTCCTGGAATGACTCCGACGATCCTACAAAGAAATACCGCGCCGAGTTTGAGTTCATAACTCAAGCTGAGTGGACGACTGAGGTCGTTGCTCTCCACCGCGATATTCTTGACCATAACGGCAAGCTTTCGTGCGACATCAAAAATGCGGACAGCGATGCCGGGATCGCATATTCCATTTTGAAGTCCGTCTACCCGAAGCATACTGATAAGCAACTCAGAGATGTCGATCCTGTGGTGCTCGCAAATTTTGTCAAGGTGCGAGAGGTGATTGGCAAGACCAAGGTGGTTGAAGAAGCCGAGTGCGCTCCTTTCTACTCCGTAATCCAGGCCTTCGTGGATTCGGAGGAGAAGCGAAACAAGTCTCGCACGGAAGACGATGGTGCTGAACCTGAGGAGCTGGAGATGGCCTACTGGCCCCTCATCAAGGTCGTGCGGGTCTTCCTAAAGTCAGAGGTCGTTTCTACCGGAGTATTCATTGTGGATTTGGTACGTGAATACAAGCTCCTACGTTGATATTGCTACTGACATCAAAATAGCCTGGAGGACGCGACTCGAATGCTACTCGCGCGGCGGTTGCTGCCAAGTACGTTAAAGAGTGTTCCAGACTTTGGGTGGTAGCACCCATCACACGCGCGGTTGACGACAAGACCGCAAAGACGTTGATGGGCGACAACTTCAAGCAACAGCTCAAGTACGATGGCGCGTACAACAACATCACCTTCATCTGTACCAAAGCCGACGACATTTCCCTGGATGAAGCGGCCCCAAGTCTTGGCATTGTAGACCTCATTGCGAAGGAGCAAGAGCGCAAAATCGAAATGGAGAGTGAAATCGAGCGCAAGACGGACGAATTGAAAAGCCTTGAGCCCCAGAAAGCGAGCGCCCAGGAGAAGTACAGAATCATCGGCAATGACTTTGATATCTGGCATGGACTTTACAGACAGGTTTCCAAGGGACATGCGACCTTTGCTCCCATGGAATCTCCCCGCAAGAGGAAGCGTTCTCGGCCTCAGCGTGAGAAAGAGCCTGCAATTGCCAAGAAGGTGAAGAAAGAGCCCGGTCAAAGCGACACAGACGAAAGCAGTGATGACTCGGATCTCGATGCCGTTGAGTCTGATGACGATGACTCGGAGGGTCGCCCTGAGCCTTTATCAATCGAGGAGACGCGCAACAGGCTTGAAGAGCTGAAAGCGTCCAAGAAGGCTGCTAGAGAGGAGCGGAAGAAGATTACTCGGCAGATGACGCAGATCAAGAAGGACATCAAGGACCTCAGCAAGCAGCGTTCGGCTGTGAAAATCCAAATGTACCGCTGCTGCATCCAAGGACGCAATGACTACTCCCGCCAGGCGATCAAGGAGGACTTTGCGTTTGGTCTGAAGGAGTACGTTTTCATACGGTCGTCATTCAAGAAGGGCATCACTAACAAAAATGTCTGATATACAGGTTTGATGAAGAGCTTCTCGCCGAACAGGAGGGAGAGATGCGAACTCGCCAGCAGGTTGAGGTCGTGAGCCCCGATTATGAACAGATTGGCAAAGATTTACCAGTCTTCTGCATCAGCAGTCGGGGCTATCAGCAGTTGAGAGGAAGGATGAAGAAAGACCATCGTGTTGTAGGCTTCACTTCTCTCACTGATACTGGGGTTCCTGATCTTCGTGACTACACCCTCGAGCAGGCCGCGGCTATCCAGGCTAGCCACTTTCGCCATCATCTCAGCGAGATATGCCGCCTTCTGGGGGCACTCGACCTCTTTTTGGCAGGCGACGTCGCCAACCTCAAGCTTTCCCAAAATGAGAAGAAGCAGGAGACTAAGAGCTTGGGGGTTGCCTTGACCAAGCTAGGAAAGGTATCCGCAAAAACGATCATATTGCAAGCCATTGAAACATTACTGACTATGTCTCCAGGCCCTCGGCGAGGCTGTTACAAAGTGCATGGAGGATTGCAAGTCAGTCGTTAAGGCGAAAGTCCTGAAGAAAACCGGCAAGGGTGCCGTGAAAGCCTCTGACAAGGCCGTTGCTACTGCCGAAGGTTGGGGTGCGAAGCATGATGCCGGAGGTCTCCGCTATGGAACCTACAAGGCTACTTGCCGTCGCTAGTAAGTCCTGCCTCGTGACAACCCCCTTAAAAAAGCGTGGCTCTAATGTAAAGCAGTGGCGTATTCAAAGGTGCAGCGGGTGCCCGTGACTTCAACGAGGGTGAGCTCTGTCTACCATGATCTGTCTGAACCGAGGTAATCTAACATGTAGCAGATCTTCTCAATCCTATGAAGAATTATACTGCCCAGGAGTGGGACTCGGCCTTCAATGGCCGCTTGCCTGAGAAAATTTCGACACTTGCCGCGTCTTCCAAGCAGCTCATTAACTCGTTCCACGAGCGCATGAAGGACAGACGGTTTCTTGTCGAGAACAACGACTTAGTGAACGGCTTCCTCGTCGTGATTCTGGCCGCACAGAAGGAGAAGCTCGCCCATATAGCTAATGAGCATCAGAAGCTGGTCCAGACCGCACAAAAGGACGCCAATCGTCTCTTCGGTCCTGTTATTCAGCGAGCCATGAATGAAGCCTACCAAGGCTGCGTCGACCTGAGAGGTGAGCGTTGCGAATTCTAGGAGGCATACAGACATGAAGCTAACCAAGCTCATTTCCGCAGGAACCGGATCTTTCATTCTCATGAAAGACCTCATGAAGGAGCATGTCGAGTCCCAGAAGTCTACCATGTTCAAGACCGCCGCCAGAGATGTGGAGAAAGCCGCCAACACAATGCTTAGCACCCTTGAAAAGACGATCCGCGACGACACGAATGGAGTTGTGAACGCCATGCAGGAGGACTACATCGGCCTGATTGGAGAGGTGGCTACCACGGCCGACAATCGCGCCATAAAGATTTTGAGTCCCGTGCTCCATGACTTTTACACGAATCTGAATGCCGCCCTGAATCCTATCGAGGAGGAAATCGTCGTCCATGAGCCCATCGATCTCGAGCTCGACGTGGGAGACGGCAGTGACGACGAATACCGGCCCGATGAAGACATGAGTGATTGATCACGGGATTATCGGCCTTGCAAGGATTGTGATATTGGAACCTGTCTTTTGTCCCTGTGGAATGCGGGATATGGATACTCGGACTTGTTGCTTGATGATACTTGCTCTTCCATCATAGCACGCTAGGTCTAGGTATGAGGATTCCGAAGGGCTATGGGGTAAACGCCTGCTTAGGCACCGAGATAGGATTCTGATAGGAAAAGAATGTATGAACAAGGAAACACTGCGCAGAGGTGATGAGCCCCATTGATCGAGCGGCAATGACAACCACTCTGAGGGTTGGAAATTGTCGCTCATCCGCTAGACTGTCGTGATAAGCAGCGACCACTTACACGCGAGCTATTGCGTGTCTGGTCTCCATTGCTTTTCCCAGTGACTGAATTCTTCGTCATCAACGTCGGTAGTCATCAAAGCATCATCATAAAATAATCTCCGGTTCGAACGTACCTAGCTGCAGCCAGCGAAGTGTGTGTGTAAGTAAGGTAAGGTAGGTAGCTACTAACCTTACTATCTTACAGCTCCCAAGTGTCCATAAACAAACCTTGGAAGCTGAAGCAATCTTCATGAGACTGCTTTCACTATCAACCGCTCCACGCCTCCTCACCTTATTGAGAGTATCATCGATAAAAGCAGATAAACAAAGACCAATTACTGTGACATAGCACCAAGGAGACTCAATTCGGTCGGCTCCGAGCGCCCGGCGGCCGAAGAGGCCGTGTCCCCGGAGAATCCTTGCAGGCAAAGCCGTTGAGCACACGGCAGCGGTTGCGGTACGTAACACGGTAGCACGCGGAAAGGGCTCGTAAAGGCCCAGGTCAGGACAGTCAGGTATGACCGCACCGTGCAGCGGTGACAGCGGGAGAGCGGCGTGCCCGCCTTAGAAACTCTCCGTTCCAGAACGCCCCGACGGGAGCTTTTTCTGCAGCAGGTATGGAGGTGGGATACAGACGCTGTTAAGGCGGCGCGAGCAGAGCAGAACGGGCCTGGCCAAGGGAGGAAACATGACTGCTCACACCCGGCAATTGGGGGGTTTGTCTCGTTGTGTGGCGTGGGCTTTCCCATTGGTGTTTTAACCCCTTCTCTTATAGGTAGATACACCGCCATAAGCACCCGCCACTGAGACGTTGCACTCGCATATCAACTGGGCATTTCTCGGTGTGATCAAGGCTATCAGGTTTTCCCACCCTGCGCCTCCAACTGCTCAATGCGCAATGCGAGCAGCAAAAGTACATACAGCGCCGTGTAAGCGAGAAAGCATTGCATCACCACCTGCGTAAAATAAATTGAAAAAGAGGTCTACTCCGTAGGCAGGGGTGGGATGAAGTGGGACCGCTGTTGAGGAATGCGAGTCATCAATAAGTCCGAAAAGGAAGGCAAGGGAAAAACCTCAAAAGTCTGTTTTTTCAGCTTTGGGGATCCCGTGACAACCGTGGAGCCCGATGTTCCCGTGGGAGGACAAGTCACGGGGTTCCGGGACCGGTGAGAGGGGCGGCCAGTCATGCGCCGCGGGGGTGACGGCCGCGTGACACCCCAAGAGCCGGACTCGGTCAGGGAAAGAAGGCCAACGTCCGGCGGGGGGAGAAGGAGGGATGGGCCACGGGGGGTTCGACGTGGGAGGTTCCCTTGCCCGAGGCAACCACTTGGCACCACTTGCTTGCCAACGAACCTGAGCAGGGCGGCACGGCGCAACACCACGTTGCCCAAGAATGCCACCTTATCTACGGGCGGAGGTGCCTAGGAAAGTATGTCGGAAAGTCAAAATCTATGCTTTCCAGTTTCCCACCCCCATCCATGCTGGCGACCTTGTCCCGTCGTGGGGCCTTTCTTTGTCAATGACCTTTGACGTCGATGTGCCCCCTCGCTTTTCGAGTTGTACAACGGTAAAGCCTGCCAATGGACGTTGCTCGTCTTTGTGTTGGAGGGGTGTTGCGCGGCTTCTCGTCTGGACAATAGGCAAGATAAGTCAAACACAACTTCATCCAAAACAGACCCCGCATTATCATCGAAAGCTAGAGCCAAAATAACGTCGTTCTCGGGGGCGCTGCATGATAGGTTTGCTGGAGCAGTTTGGCAACTTGCGATTTGTGTTTGTGAGCGGCCGTCTCGAGAGGGTGACCTGTAAGCGCGTGTAAGTGTCATGGAACGACCCGCAGTTCGTAACTACCCATCATGCCCATCCATGGTCTCAACACACAGCAAAGCAGGAAAGGCTTTGATGGATTGCGGATTGGCGAGTATATGGTGAAAAGGGCGTTGCCGGGTGCCGAGATCGTTTGCTAGCTCGAGGGTTGCAGCAATCGTTGCAACATTGACTGCTAGGCTGGGGGTTGAGTTGGATTTTTGGCCTTCTTGATGGATTGTCAGGTCAGGGTGCCAATTTCATTGCCAGCGCAGTGCCATTATGGAGCCGGCAGTAGTCCGAGTCTGATGTTGAACGGGGATCGGCGGTCTTGGGAGGCTCGAACCACTGGGAACCTAATGCGACTTTTTGGGTAGCCAGAACACGAGTCTGTCGGACCAGTGAGGAAGTGGCACAGAAAGACGGCTCATGGCATGGCATGACTGAGTGATGGAAAAGCACATGAAGAGATTTCCATATGCAATATGCATGTGAGTGCTAGGGTAGAATGTAGCGAGACGGGACGGGGTGGCCGACGGTGGATGGAATTTGATGGAGTTGGTCCAGGCATTCGGCCGTTCAGACTCTCTTACTCTCAGGTCCGGTCATGTCAGTAGCACAAGGTGCCTGCAGCTGCCGGGTTCCGACTCCCAAGTTGCACGGCTCGAGAAGAGAAAAGAGAAAAAGCAATGAGTAAATTAGACATGTTCCGGGGGAGAATGGCCACGTGCCTGTCTTCAAGAAGCAATATGATGTGTCGTTCGGTGAGGAGAGCGCCGTTGATACCCGAATGACATGGGGCGTCCAACGTCCAACGTCGAGGGTCAAGCGATGCGTGGGAAAGTATTGCATAATACGGAAGCAGGCGCAGACCATCATCACCTTGATTACCAAGCGTATGCCATGACTGAGGCGCGGCAGGTAAGGTGGTAATGGTTGCTGGTGCTGGTGCTGATGCTTTTGTTCTCAATGTCGATGATGGCAGTCATTGCTGTACGGAGTACGTACATAGATGGAGGATACTCAAGTATAGTACCCTTGCCGATGACCCCCATGCAACTCGTGAAATGGCATGTCGAAAAATGTGCGCCTGGCAATCACACCCTGGAATTGGAAGGCGGAATGGCCTAGGATTCACGCCCACCGAAAGCACCGAGAAAGAAGCAACCCTGGCAGACAGCCCTCTGAGGGGTTTTTAGGCTCTTGACTCTTGGCTCTTGACTCTTGGCTCTTGAGAGGCAAGAGCGACTGCAAGGCTTGACTCTTTCCAATTTAGAGGGGACTTGCTGCAGTAGGTTGGAAGGGACGAGGCAGGCGTGGAAGGGCAAGGAGAAGAGGAAGAGGAAGAGGGAGGGGGGGGGCCCTGCCTTAATCACCCCTGTCTGCTTGACAATGCCGGTACGTACCTACCGCCCACCCCGAGATTCCAAGAATCGGAAGCCCGCGCGCACGCCCACCCAAAAAAGATTCCATTTGGCTTTCCATTGCAGAGAGACGGGAGGAGAGAGGGGCGGAACCTCCCAAAAGGCCAAGTCCCACGTCTTCTCTTTCGATGGTGAACCACGCATCCGACCCGACCCAAAATCCAGACAGCGGGGATCGGGGACACCATCTTTAAGGGTGTTCTAGGCCTCTCAAGTACATATTCCCGCCACGACCACCATAGAGATACTTGCAGATTGGCACTCCTGCACCGCCCAAAAGAATCAACCCACATCCATCGCACATTGGATTTGCACATTTGCACATCGGCCACTTTATCGACCACACACACACACACACACACAACACACGCACACCCACTACGCGCTTGACTCCCCACGCACAATTCATCTCTCATGTCTTTCTGCACAAACTCCCGCAGACAAGGCACCTATTTCTCCAGTCTGGTCTAACCTTTGGGTCTCGCTTGGATTGACCTGTCCAACTTGTCCAGTCCAGGTTGTTGTCTCGTCCGCTCCTGGCAGGCTTTCATCTAATCTTTTCTATTTACCTCAGATTCTGGCCTGATCCGAGACCACAGTCCAATCCACACACCCCTCCCCGGGCCCCCGACTTTCCCATTGATCATCTCTCCGCGGGGAAGAGAGAGAGACACGCACACACGCACACACAACCACACACATTCGCACACAGAGAAACATTCCCCAAACGCGTTCATCTGCAACCTGAACCTCTTTCTCTCCTCCGCCGCTGCCCACCCCAGTGTGTCTCTGTCAACACCCTTTGCGCCTGTGCGCCTGTGCCTGTGGTCTGGACGCAACCGTAAATCGCCCATCCCGAACAAACATTGGACGCCGCCGACCATTTCGCCGCAACCTCGACCCAGACGCCTTGCGTCATGCCCACGCCCAGGAACCCATTGGCCCACCTCCACGCCCCGATTCCTGACCCTCGTCCGTCTAGGTATCGGTCTATCCCCTAGTCGCCGCTACCGCTACCGCTGTCACTGGCACTCTCCGTCTTGCAGTTGCAGATCCTGTTGCTGTCTCTGCCGGCCTTGAGCGACATGGTCGACATGGACGATGCGACGAGGCTCATCGGAGACCTGCATCAGAAGCTAGCCGACCTCGACCACAAGGTTGCAGCCTACCGCCAAGACATGGCCCTCGAGTTCCGTAGATACTCCCACCAACTGCTCCAAAACATCCCACAACACACCAAAGCCGAGGTTGCTCGTCAAGTTGCCGCTTCCTTCGACAACTACTCAGCTCTACGCCCTGCCCTTGGCCAGAGTCTCACAACTCCCCTGCGAGATACTGACCTGCCTGACTCACCGCCGCCGCCACCGTCCACCGTCGACACCGAAAACCTCACCGAAGGCCACAGCAACCCCGGCAACCCCCGCGAACCTCCGCCGCCGTCGTCCGCCTCTACGTCCACGTCCACGTCCACTTCCACGCCCCCATCCGCTTTTCCCCATGCCGGCACTGCTGCCCTAACCTCCCCCGATAGCGTTTATGACCGGGAAAGGGATAGGGGTTTCCACGGTCTCTTCACCCCAAGCTATCTGCCCCTGCTGGATAGCTCACACGAGACTCCTGCTCCAGCAGCAAATCAGCCACCAATCCTCCTGCCAGCTTCAAACTCTGCTGCTACGACGCAAGACGACATGGGTCGTCGCAAGTCCAGTCAGACTCGGGAGCAGCCTGCGATCCAGGTGTCGGTTGCCGCGACACAGACGCCCGAGAGGCCAAACCACGAACGCCGGGCAACTGATGACACGACGTCTTCTGGAGCTTCGGAGCAGAGCGAGTCCAAGGTCCGCCGTAGCGCCTTGCGAAGAAGCTCGAGTGGAATCAAGCCACCCGCCAGCCCTAGGCGAGTGCGCTTCGAGTTCGAAGGAGGAGAGGTGCTGCCTACAGCCTCGCCCCAGTCATCGGAGCCGTCCCTCATACAGTCGCACACCCTTGCCAATTCGAGGTCACCCCCTCCATCAGAAGATGAGTCAATGAGTGTCGAATCCTTGCTGGGCCCAGACGAGGACGACAGCGGCCCGCCGCCAAAGAAGGTCTCTTCTTCACAAGCACTTCGCGCTCTTTCTCGAGCTCCTTTGGATGCTAACACCGTTTGGACTGTTGTAAATGCCGAAGCCCAGGATAAGGAAAATGGTAGTATGGCAACATCAGATTCAGAAACGTCATTGCAGCCGAGCGACAGTATTGGAACTCTCCCGAAACCTCAGTCACCACCAAAGACCACATTGGTGGAGCGCAAACGAGCCCCAGAACCATTGCGTCCTGTTTCCCCAGAGAGAGTCAGCCGGAGGGATGATAACGATGATGAGGACAGTGACGGCAGCTCTTCGGATGACGGCTTCCTCGCCATGGCAAAGCCAAAATCCTTTGCCAACAAGAAAGCGATTCTTTCACCGTTATCACGCTCACCAACAAGAATGGCCACTGCGCCTTACAGCCCTACTCGAGACAAGTCAGGGTCGCACAACGAGGATAAGTTGGTGACACAAAACGACGGGCCGGACGAGGACGAGGACGAGGACGATGACATGTTCCATTTTGAAGGACTTAGTGCGCCGCCGAAGCCCCGAGCTCGACCAGCTCCGATACAGGAGGAGGAGGAGGAGGAGGAAGAAGAAGAAGAAGAAGAAGAAGAGGAAGAAGCTGCATCGAATGGACCAGTCACCCAGACCCTATACTCGACCTCGCCTGCTGTGTCTATCCCGAAGCCAGTTGAGCCAGCGATTCCGGCACATCTCGTTTCAGGCTCGGTTGGATCTTTCAGGGGCCGCCCTGTTATCATGCCTGTTGTGAAGAACCCCGACGTATACCAACAGGCAGCCTCGCTCGGCGATGTCAGTAGCTTCATCGGAGGACTGGACGGACGCAGCGGCGTTGACGACGGGGATCTCAGCAGTTACCGTGCTAGCGTCGGGCAGGCATTGTTCTCGGGAACCCCTCGAAGTCTGACGGAACGAATGATGATGGAGGAAGCACAGAGCCAGAGACGGGCAGCAGCGCAGCGACCTCAATGAGGGTAACGCGTCGCCGCGCTCAACCCCCCCTTTTCCTCTGTTTATGTATATGTTACGGGTATGGGCCAATTGTAGAGTTCCGGAAGTCTATACATAGACTGTGCTTCGGCGTTTAGATGCATTATGGCTGGGCAACTAAGGGGGATGTGGCATGCCGAGGCCTTTGGCAGGATGGTTTGGAAGGTCTAGGCCGGTGGGACAGGCATCATTCGTACACGGCATACCCGCATCATGGTAGTTTATAAACAACAAAACAAACGCCCACGGGCTATTGAAAAGATACAGGAAGAAATACTCGCACCACTTGGTTTGATGGAATGGTGAAGTGTAGATATCGTCCCAACCCTTGTTTCAGGTCACGGCGTTGATGTTCTTCTCGGGCTCTGTCAGATCGGGCTGTTTGGGACCCACACCAAAGCCCGGACGGGACCTGAGGAAGTGGAAAAAACCTGCGCCGAGCCTCCGGCTCTCCCGCCCAATCCCCGGGCGCGTCCAATCCCGCTGCAGATGATTCTCAGGTGGTGCAGCTGGGGCCAAATGGAAGAGCTTCCATTCCATCGTCCCGCGAATCAACTCTGCCATCGTCATCGACTCCCAATTGCACAACCACCACAACCCACGACCACAACGCAAAACAGTCACAATGGGCGGCCTTAATCTCGAAGTTTTCAAGGTAAGACTTCATCAAATTCTTGCCCCCCAATGATTCTGCCCGGCAGACAAGACTCCTCAAGAGATCTCTTGACTGACAATGGCGCCACCACCAACAGTTTGGCATGTATGTCATGTTCCCGATCGGCGTCATGTACTACTTTGGCACGAACCTCGACAACCGATTCGCGGTGCCCGAGTTCTGGCCCAAGGCCGAGCACTCCCACAAGATCCCCTTTGACCGCGACGAGATCAAGAGCGAGTACATTCGTCTGGCCAAGAGGCAGCGGGCGTTTGACGAGATTAAGAGGGAGAGGGAGGCTGCGCAGGCTGCGCAGAACCCCGCGCCTTCGAATGCGGAGCAGTCATGAGGGTCTTGAGTCACTCGTGGATGGAGAAGGGGCACATTTTGATCTCGATTCACGCCCGGGACTCAACATGTAAGAAGGGGTCGAACGGATCGAGAATTTGCGCTGTATCATATGGGCGTTTTGGGCGGTCAAAAGAAGAACGTTTTTGGGCTTTGGGAAATTTGTCATGCGATTGACGCGGAGTTTTGGGCGGAACGGATATTATTCCTGGGGGTTGATTCGGATTCTCGGTTTGCACCCCCGACAACGCCCCTCTGAGGATTCTATCACTACTTGTATTATGTGTTCTTTCTACATGTTGTACACGAGAATATGGTATCCTACAACAAATGTACATCAACATCCAAGAGTCGGGTGTATAAGCCCCAACATCTACGAGTCGAGGTTCTCCTCGATGCCGGACCACTGCTCCTCGGGGATGTCGCCCCGCGTGGGGTTGCCGTATACGGCTTGCACCTCGGGGAACTCCTGCAGCGCGGCCAAAAGCTCGCCCAGCGTCGTGGCTTCGAGCCCCTCGTCAATCTTGACCTTTGTGTCCTCATTTGCATTCCAGATGATTTCGGAGCTGAGCAGCTCGAGCTCAAATTTGGGCCCCACGCCGTTGACGACAGCGTTGGTCATGTTGGGCTGCGTCCAGACGACGAGGTTGCCCTCGTCGTCAGCCTCGAGGTCCTCGGCGCCGCACTCGATGGCGTCGTCCATGATGTCGTCGATGCCCACGGGGCCACCCCCTTCCTTTGCGGCAAAGACAACGCGGCCTAGGCGGGTGAAGAAGAAGGTGGCGGCGTTGGCGGTGCCCTTGTGTTTCTTGACGAGGACTTTGAGGTCTTGGAGGGAGCGGGCTTTGCTCTCAGTCTCGACTTCGATGATGAGGGCGACACCAGGCGGGAGGATGGCTTCGAGGGTGAGGGATTCGAGGGAGGCACCTGAGGCGGAACGGCCTTGGCCTCGTGCGATGGCGGAGTCGATGACGGCTTTGGGGACGCCGTCTTGGATGCACGTTAGCTTTCTGTATGCTCCGTAGACGAATGCGGTTTGTTCTTGTGAAGGGTGTACCTTTCTTCGCATTTGCAACTGCTGTGACGAGTTGAGGGTTGTTATCGGTTCCGTGCACTACGTGGGAATCGTAAGCTTTTGCGATACAAGGGTCGGTGGTGCGACGTGGGACGCACGCCTAGAGTAGAGGGCAATCGTCTTGGAGTGCTGGCTGCGCATGTTATTCTTTTGCGCATCGGCGGCGCCCTTCTTGTGCTTAATCTTGGACCACTTGTTGTGCCCGCTCAATGCGGCGGGCGTCGTCGAGAGCGGACGCAGGCATTGGCAGCAGAAAGTTGTGGTGGGCTGAGCTCGAGGTCTTGGGATGGCGGCTTGAGGGACGGCGGCGACGATGCGCGATGTGATGGTCCGGACGGGGCCGGAGGCGAACGGGCGCATGGTTGATAACGGAAGGTGGTAAATATGGCGATCTCGCCGGTGGATTATCAGGTGTCCGGAACGGATTCGAGGTCAAAGTCTGGAGCTTTCAACGTCTCGTCTGGTTCATGTCATGTTTCTGGCCGGGACACACTTTCTGCCGGAGCGATTGGGAGCTCGGAGCTTCCTCGAAATTTAAGTGGATCTGTCCGGTCCGTCTGATGTGTGGCTGCTTATTGGTTAGACCCTTGACTTCACATTTGACACTTTGAGGTGGTACGGCTGAGCCACAACTGGCGCCTCAAAGTGATATGTCATGGCTCACGTTCCCCCCCTTATGGAGAGCTTGGGACAGACCCGCCGGGGGGTAGCCGCCCCTAATTCCATGGGGCTCACCTTAGACCATCCTGTACCTGACCGCATGCCTGTCCTGTCCCTCAACCTGTCCCCAATAACCCATCCCACCCTTCGACAACACATCCGACGAAAAGGGAACAACAGCATCCATTGAACAAAACACCAAAACCCCCCAGGTGTGTGCGCTCGACGGCGTAACCTCACACGCAACCCCCCTACGTCGTCCCCAATGTCGTCGACAGGAGCTCCCAACGGCTCCAACGGGGACCACGCGCAAGCAGCTGCCTCGCCCAGGCCATCGACAGCTGCATCGGGACCACCACCACAACCGCCCCCGGCCGCAACGACAGCTACCACGGCAGACTCGTCAGCGACATCGACCCCCGAGCTCGACGTCCCGAAGCTGCAGTCCCTTCCCGCCGAACAACAGGAGCTCTTCCTCTTGACCTTCGTCTCGACACTCTCTAAGCACGTCCTCAGTCTCCCCGCCGATGACTGCACCGCCCAGCAGTTCTACCTCAAGAAGGAGATCTTCCAGATCATTAACCTCCCCTCCCCCCAGCCGAGCCGAGTGGTCAGAAACAACCTGGGAAAGTGCCTCGCCCACATCTTTGGCCATGGCGACAGGAAGCTCCTCTTTGAGACCATCAATGATCTAATTGGCATCATCTCGGGTGCCAAGTCCAAGGCCGATGCCGGTCCGCGCACGAAGCACGCTGCTGTCGCGTGTCTGGGAGACGTCTATGTATCCGCCGGCGACAGCGCCATAGGCCTTCATCAGTTGGCCTGCGCTACGCTCATCAAACTACTCAAGTCGTCCTCCAACAATGCCGGCCTCCGCGCTGCGGTCTTCGTGTCCCTGGCCAAGATTGTGAAGATGGTGGAGGGAAGTGTAGACGAGAACGTCGCCAGGGATATCTTCAAGCAGTCGCGCAGCTACGGCACTAGCGACAAGGGCTCGCTCGTCATCGTTTCGGCGTGCCGCTGCCTGAGAGCCCTGGTTCGGCATACGCCGTACTTTGAGAACTCTAGCGACTTTGAGAAACTGCAGGCTGCCATCTGGAAGGTTGTTGATTCATCTTCGTCGCAAGTGAGGCACGCCGCCGCGGAAGCGCTGGCCGAGGCCATGGTGCGCGGGTACACCGAGACTGGAGTGGCGGAAGGCGCTCCCATGACATCAAAGGCGTCCAAGAGGTTTTCCAAGAAGCCCCTCAAGCGCACGGGTACAGCAGCCAGCATCGTTGCGGACGAGGACGATCTGCCGACGTCGCGGCCTGGCAGTCCTGCCCCCGGTGGAAAGAGGACGCAGGACCTTGCGCTGTCTCTAGCGGAGATTGGCAAGATTCTATCGACGCAGTATGCCAAAATGCCGACGTCCAACAGGGCGAGAGCCGCAATTGGTGTCTGCTACGGTAAAGTGCTCAGAAAACTTGGCGAGAAGACAGTGGAGGCGAACTACCTGAGGATCCTCGAAAGCTTGACGATTGATATTTTGGGAGCGCCCAATATCCTCAACAACCGCTACCGTCTTCTCATTTCGCGGCGCATTGTCGATACAATCCTCCAGGACATCATTGGAAAGAAAATTCTGGGCGAGTCTGGTCAGACTGCGGCGGCCAAGTCGATTATCAATGACATTCTGAAGAACTATCCCCAAGCCCTGACGGAGCGGCCCGAGCCGTCAAAGCATACCCTCATCGCCGCCCTCGGCGCTGTGGCGGCGCTCATCAACAACTTGGGATCCGCCGCCAACAACTTTGCAGAGTCTTGCCGCGACGGCCTCTTGCAGGTTCTCCAGCACCCCAGCTACTCAGTCCAGGTTCATGCTTCGGCATGTATGAAGGCTTTCGTTCTGGCTTGCCCACAGCAACTCCTGCCCTGCTTATCGGTTTGCATGAATAGTTTGAGCAGAGAACTAGCTCTATTGACGAGTGGCCGAAACTCTCCTCGACGATGCGTAGGATTTGCCCACGGTTTGGCGGCAACACTTAGTGCCAGCCCCGCGCGACCTCTGCACGGTTCCGTTGACATCAACAGCCGTGTTCTGACCATGGCCACCAACTTGCTGAAGTCGAGCGGGCAGTCTGAGTTGAGGGTCTCAAGTACTCAGATACAGGTCGCCTGGATTCTCATCGGTGGTTTGATGTCGCTCGGACCGAATTTTGTCAAGATTCACCTTTCTCAGTTGCTCCTCTTGTGGAAGAATGCGCTCCCGAAGCCATTGTCAAAAGACAATACTGCGCACCGGAGTTTCTTAGAGGCCTCGTTCTTGACCCACGTCAGAGAGTGTGCTCTGGGGTCTATTCTCTCGTTCCTGCAATTCAACAACCGCTTGTTGACAGTCGATGTCTCCAAGCGCATAGCCACGATGCTCCAAAACACTTCCGCATTCTTGCGAACGCTGCCTGCAAGAAAGACTACTGACGACGTGGCGCAGAGGCTGACACCGGCATTGCAGCTTCACGATCTCGATATGATGGTGCAACGTCGAGTTCTGCAATGCTACATCAAGCTGGTCAACCTTAGCCCGGCTGGTGGCAGCGAGGCGCTTCTGCAATCCAACCTCCTTACAATCGCGATATCGCTGTTTGCGGACCCGGAAAACTACTCAGTCAATTCTCTCAGTGCTTCGATTGCGAACGCCGCGGCCACGTTCGAGACCGTTTGGGACGTTGGCGACAATTCAGGGTTCGGGATCACAGGTCTCATTTCCGGGTTCAAAATCAAGAGCCTGCCTGGCCAGCAGGACAACTCGATAGAAGGAACGCCCCTGGAACAGGACACTCCAGAGGAGGCCATTGACAGATTATTGCTGTCGCCAGTTTGCGGCACGTTAGAACATGACGCATCTCTTTTATACGTCGGCGACACTGCCTCGGAGGCGACGAGTCCAGACCCACCGGCCACGGAGGTCATCAACATGGCTATCCAGCTGTTCGCGTTCGTCTTCCCGCTCACGCCCCCCAAGGTACAAGAGAGTGTGCTTGAGCAGGTTAGAACCTTCATGTCAGCTGGCCCCCTTCTGAGGGACCCCGGGAGGAAGGCGGCGATGAACGTCAACGTCTCCGTTGCCATCTTGTCGACGTTGCGTGTGGCTGTGAAGGAGACTCAATCGTCGCCTGGAAATGTCACCAATCTGGCAGTGGAGAGGCTCCTTCAGGATATGCTGCGGGATTTTGTTATTGACGGAGACCAGTATGTCCGGAGCGTTGGGTATGCTGCGGTTGCTAGACTGTGCAATGCCTGTGGTAACGCCTTCACCAACCACGAGATCAAGTACCTTGTCGACACCATCGTCAGTAACCGAGAGCCCAGTGCTCGAGCTGGCTGTGCCATGGCACTCGGCTCCATTCAAACCAAGGTCGGTGGGATGGCGGCGGGCTACCATTTGAAGACTATTCTCGGCATTCTCATGTCTCTCTGCAACGATCCTCATCCCACCGTTCATTTCTGGGCTTTGGAGGCACTCGCGCTGGCATCAGATGCGGCTGGACTGAGCTTTGCTGGATATGTGCCTAGCACGCTCGGAATGCTGGCGCAACTCTACGTCTCTGATACGCACCACCCGGAAATCTCGTCTGCTATTACGATGAACCTCGAAATGGAACTTTCCACCCCTGCCGCCATTACACGATGCGTAGACTCTCTCATCAACGTCCTGGGTCCAGATCTGCAAGACTCAACCAAATCGAGAGAGCTCATCCTTAACCTGGTCAACCAACTTCAGGAGGAGGATGACTTGCTGGTGCAGCGTGCTACTCTGAGCTGTTTCGAGCACCTGTCACTTTACGCGCCTGGCTACATGCACTTTGAAGACTATGTCAAGTTACTTCAAAAGTACCTCAGATCGGAGTATCCGATCTTGCGCGACGTCGCCGTCGATGGCCTGTACAACATCATGAAGAGAAACCCCAATGATGTGATCAACGCTGCTGAGAAGGGCTTTGAAGATCACCTGTGGCTGGTTCTTGATACCACGCCAACACATGATGGTATTAGGAACATCCTGAGGAACTGGATGCGACAGACTTGTCTGACGGATACCGGCCTCTGGCTTCAAAGATTCCAGACGGTACTCAAGATGACTAGGGCCAAGGCCAAAGAAGAATCTGACGTTGGGCCCAAGAAGACGGGCGGATTGCCCGATCTACAGGACGAAGAAGTGGCTGGCTTTGCAGGCACAGCCAAGGATGATCAAGACAACAAGGCCGGGGCTGAAGTCGAGCCTCTCCGATGGCAAGTTACGACTTTTGCTATCAGCTGCATTAACGACATGTTTGTCCTCATTGCGAAGGACGTGATGACGAACGGCGAGTCCGCTGCGCAGGTGGCGCTCCAGAATAGGATTGGTGATGTCGTCCGCATGGCCTTCTCCGCGTCCACGTCTAGTGTCTTGGAGCTACGTGTATGGGGTCTTAAGATCATCGGAGCAGTTCTCAAGATGTTTGGACGGACACCTGACCCTGACTTTGATGAGGCCATGCTTCTCGAGCAGTACCAGGCCCAGATCAGTTCCGCGCTCACGCCCGCCTTCGCCGCGGACTCGTCTCCTGAGCTGGCTTCTGAGGCTGTCAACGTCTGTGCCGGCTTCATCGCCACGGGTATTGTTACGGATGTTGATAGAATGGGTCGTATCCTCAAGACTCTGGTTTCTGCTCTGGAGA